CCCTAATTGTATATACCTTTTCATTCCATAATTCAATGTCAACAATTTTTAAATAATTTTAGTTTCGCTAATAGAAACATACTTTCATTGTATTTGCATTAGATAAAATGTTGCGTTATTTTCACTAGTATCTAATAGTATAATACTACTGTCAGTACGGATTTTCACAATATGTTAACAATAATTGAATCAGTTAAGAAATGAATAATAGATGATTTTTTCACAGCGATATATCATACGCCTCTGGCACAACCGGTAAATATCGTGGTGTGATGGACCTGAACAATAGGTTCGTATCCGTTCATAGACTAGGAAATACGACACTTACATGCTTACAGCAACACCATTAATTCTCAGTTCTGTACTTATTTTGAATCAGGTCTCGTCTTATGAAACTACATGAACTTTTATGCACATTATATATATATATATATATATGATATATTAGGTGTTAAAATATATACTGTCAAACGCAAACACAAACAAAAATACGGTAAATTACTGTAACAGCAACACTTTATTTCAACGTTTGTGTCGTGGGACAGTTTTGTTAAAATTGTGGTATATATATTAGTAAAACAATAAATTATTCCATCTAGACCAAAAGGTACAAGTTTGTTGATTCCGAATTTTGCTACTGTGACACCGTATTTACTCCAAAATAAAAAAAAATTCAACACTGTTATTACACGCTTTTACCTGGTGTCCGGGTATTCTAACATAATCAGGCCTACCTGTGTACGACTTCTCGTTGTCGTGTACACCCATTTTAGTTGGTTTGGTTTTTGGTTAGTTTTCTTGTATGTTGACATAAAGCTACTCTGTATTGTGTACACTTTGAAAGCATGCTGGCTGGTTTATATTTGTATTCCCATGAAGCAATGCCCGGGTACAATAGATATAAAGAAGAAAATTTCAGTTTATTGTTCAGTTAATTTGACGATGTACATAAAAAATCCAACCATCGGTAATTATTTTCTAATGATATATCCCCATCGGCAGATGACAAACACCGAATTGATTTTGTCTGGATTTGTTATTTGATTCTAATGGTCACGTTTTCACTAGACGGTACGACAAGAGATATAATTTTCATTTCAACATCATTAAGGTTTGTTAATACGTACATTGGTGGGTTTGAAGTGGACGCTAAGGGGTTTTCACGTCGGAACACGTTCTATCGCCTATGTGGAAGTAAACGGCAAAACATCTATACAAATAGATCCGTACCCCATATTGTTAATTGTTTAAATATAGTTCTCGACAAATTATTTCATCATCTCGAATTTCAAAAAAATAAATAAATAAAAGAAATTGTATAATTGAACGAGTCTTGTTAATATATATTTCATATAGGATTCATTCACTCCGTATTCCGCTTATCACAGGATTCATTCGTCACCCTAATTGTCTTTCCACATATGACTTCATATTCCCCAAACAAAACCAAATACGTTCATTAAACATACGCTTTTATGGTAATATTTAAGTTGCTCAATCTATGGTGTTCACATTACCTGGCTTCATCGCAACGCCAGAGCATGCAGCAAATTTTCAATCGCCATAGACCTATCTACTAAAAATTATTAATATTTTCATGAACAGGTTATGATAAATCACGTACATCAACAGATTATTCCACAATGAATTTTGTTCTATGCAGCTCAGACGTCCACTTGAATATAACCTGAGGTTTTATAATCATATGATGAATACTTGTCAAAGAGATGGGTTGTATTGATCTGATTTCTTATCCGGGAGGGGGAAGTTGTCATATTTCTTTTTTTAAAGGCAAGGTCAATTAATTACACAATCCAATAACATGGCAATAAACAACAATTGCGTCATATATTTTAATGTTCAAATTGAAACAAAAAAAAAACCCTTAAATATTCACTCAGTAAACTAAAATATACATGATAATTGATTATTAATATACGTCATGCCTTGGCATATTTATTTTTAGTCATCCTCTTTTTAAATGCAAACGAGCGGAGGAGATGATTGATATGAACAATCATGTTATGTCATTGGTTTCATCTATCTCGAGTGAATATCACACTATTATTTGGCAAATTCGTAGAACTGTAATTTTTTGAGTTTATCGCATTCCCATCAACACATCTTTGGTGTCGTTTTAATAACGCGCCGAGAAAATTGTTTCATTAAACTGTAAATAATTTACCATCCGTCTGGAGTGGATATCACACTATTATATTATTAAACATACATGTTAAATTGATTTTTAATTGATCACATTCTCACCAACACGTCCTTGGTGTCATGTTAATAGCACGTGGCGAAAAGTGTTCCATTATACTGTTAATAATTCACTATCTGTCTGGACCCGATATCACACTGTTGATCGCATCACTTGGCATCGTGTTGATTCGTTGCCAAGTACTTCATCACGCAACATGTGGAAGATTCACATCGTACATCATTCTTGCTCATTCGACCGAGTGATCGGATTACAATGTTATTGTTGTGCTTTTATTATTTAATTGCATTTATACGGAGAGTGTACTGTAATTAAAGTTTAAACAAAAAAGACTTATAAATCACCATTGACCTTACGTACAATACACATTTACCATACTTGCCTCCATCACATTTACCATTAACCTTTAAAATTATAATAGTTATTGTTGAGTTGGCTGAAAGCGCAGTACAAGGACACACACTCAAAATACTCCTTTTACACAATTTTGTACAATATGTCAATGTCACGCAACAATCCCAAGGCCAATGGTGATGAAAATTCTATTGACCTTTATATTGTGATGTGCGCAGATTGGCATAACAGTCATATTATTCGATTCAAATAATCATAGGTTCACTGTTTTATTTTTGTATACATCCTGGCATTTACACGGTCAATTAAGATATGAATATAACTGTAACGTCTTCTAGTTTGCAGAGAAATATAGATTATAGCATCATTTACGAGATAGCACATGTGTTTCACGCATTCAAGTTTGAGTGTAAATAAAGACAAGACAATGGTTTCAAATTTCTTCTTGGCCTTATTTTACTATTAGTAATCATATTTCGTTTCATGAGACTTCGTATGAACCATTGTTGTGGCCGTGTGTTTATTTGTGTTGACTCAGTTTTTAATCATATGCAGTAAGTGTCATATTAGTAATTGTCGCAGTTTCCCCATACAGATTAATTATAAACAAAGTTACGGTTCGGTACATTCTTTGGCCCGGTATCAAAGTTTAGAGGTCAGTACCTATAACCTCTACTATATAAAGGATTTAATTGGGGTGGCTGTACAGATGTAAGCATTTGACGAATATATTTCTCGTCACGTGATATGCAGGACAATACATCGAACAAAGTATTGTGTTTGAGCGAATGTACCCGTCCACTGACAGCAATTGGGCGACGCAATGTGTGCATTTATTGATATTTCCTTGATACAATCATTAAGCGTTCCTCGTTCTCCATGTTCGTAAATGTCACGATGCCGAAAGAGTTTTACTATACAGATAGACGTTTGCTATACAATTGCTTGGCACACAAATACATAATTTGGGACCTAGCAGAAACACAAACAAATAATTAGATTGAATATTTGTATGTACATACATAATAAACTAAACAACTAATCTCATTGACAATGTGTACAACAACAAGAATGACAGTTTTAACCCTCGAAAAAGTATTGTATTAATCTTCAAATGATCCCAAATGCTTTAATTATATAAAACTGCGCACAAATTTAAAAAACGTCAGGAAAAGTTAAGATATTCAAAAAGGCTGTCAGCATAAATTTCCACGGTAAGAACGTCTGATTTCCATCGATCAACGGGTTAGCACAAAAACAGCTAGACCAATCATAATAATCAATTAATAAATTTTAAATTAATTATTTATAGTTGGAAGGCATTCATCCATCATAAGTGATTAGATAGTACCTGTAACATATTGTATAAATATCATACATATGTTTTTCATTTATTTTACAAAAGAAGGAAGAAATTGAGTCTTGAATTGATTTGTTCAATCAATCAACTACAGAATGACCCTATCTGGCAATTGTGAAGATTACTTAAACAAATTCAAAGCAACTGTATCATAATCGCTTTAAGAATTAACTTTTTAGTTATTTAGCAACAAATCGTCGTTGGGAAAATTGTTTCCATGGCAACGAGATCCCGACCTCTTACCAATTTGAACCCCTTCAGAAAATATCACGAGAATACATATTTAAGATTTTTTGAGATAATAAATAATGTGATTATTCTGGAAATTACAGTTTCCATAGCAACCAGATCAACATCTCTTGCAAAATAGAAACGACAGATACTTGGTTTCAATGTTGAACCCCTTCTGAAAAGTGATGGGACAATTCGTCCGTATTGCTTAACCTCAATTATTATTCATCGCAATCATTCAAGTTATACACAACTCTTTGTGATCCGAACAATAGTTTTGAGGGGGGGGGTATTTTTGAGAGAAACTCGGCAAGATAGGAGAAACTTTATGCCATTCTGTCTGAAATTTTACACTTATTCGGGACGGTCGTGATACCATTCAGTGCGTAGTCTACAAATGATAATTATCACGAACTACTACGGAATAAAAAGACGAGACAAAATGATTCCTTCATATTTAATCACCAATTTTATAAAACATTTGATAAGTTCAGATTATCACAGATGTTATCATCGGTATTAACTGCAGTGTCGTCTGAACAAAGTGCACCGTTCAATGTACCACTTTTCTAACTTCGTTATCACTTTTAGGTAAAAATATATTAACACAATGAATGCACATCATTTCTTTTGCTGATAATAACCTTTATTATAATTTGAGCATTACAAATGTTTTTGCTATATTTCATTATAAATCTGTTCAGTATAAGGTCCATCTTTTTTGTTCATTGTGATAAGGGTCTATTATCAGTTCATCCTCTTAATACCCCAGTATCTGTCCGAGAAACACTTTATACTATAATAACTGTATTCGATAACATTGCTGAATGGTAAATTTGCATCGTATTCAAATCTAATGACCGGGAAGAATTTATATTTGGAATGAATACTAATCGTCCAATATCAGAAGGAGATAAAAGGTTATGCAAAGTCAAATACTAATATTGGCCTGTGTATAATACATTGTGGTAGTTTGTATTGACAACTAACTGTAATTATGATTGATGCTTAAATTTACCACCTAGTATTCATCTTAGTACAAGAAACAAGAAATATGGACGTTATTTCATGACATGACCTTTCATTACAAAAAATAAATGTTCATTTGGTCGTATGAGTGAAACATCCGAAGTTTTTTCTAACTTCTGCCGTATTGCGATTTGCCCACGTTTGACGTATTTGATAGATAGTAGTGGATTCTGGACATTGGACACCTGTACATATTTTGTGTACTGTTTTACATAATAATATTGAACACGTGTCAATATGATGATATGATGTTACCTGAAGAATACTTTGTGACAAAAAATGATAGTAACAAGTATTTTAGTAGATAGAATGTTGATACTAATAGTGTATAAAACCGCATAGGGTTAATTCCTTTAAATATTTTAAGAAGTCCGTTGTCTCTGGATTGAGCGGCTGTCATACTACACGATTTGTACCTACATTTCGTTGGTAGATGTACGTGTATGTATTCACAAATTGATTCCAAGAGTGGCTGTGTCCACAGACAACACAGTAATTGGTTCAACTCAGCTGCTATAATCATTGAAGGATATATACTGTGTGGTTGGTTGGACAAAATATTATTGTGAATATACTGTACTGACTGTTTTTATCTCTTTCTCATTCCCTCCAATTGCAGCTATCAGTTTATCGCAGTGATGCCTGCCTTTGTTGTCTCAGTTAGTACGTACAATTAAGGCTTGCCATTTAGCTTCAATGACTTATCTATGAGTTCTGCAGCCAATCCCTGCTTCATTGTAAATGCTATGTATTTAAATAATTGTATCCAAGCATCTTCGACCTTTTTATCCCAAGATCCTGTTAACGTTGGTTGTATTGATGCTATAAATTGCTGCCCGAAGACCTTTGAATATAAGAAAACAAATATGGATCTTTACTACCGATTATTTTTTTTTTCAATTAGAGAATTGATCTTTAGCTATTTGATTATATTGAACATTTTAAGACTAGCTATTTGTACTATAGTCTAATTATTCTTTTTTGTTGACATACACACAGATAAAGTAGTGATATTTATTAGAAGAGGCCCACGCAATTTTTTTGTTGATACTGGGGTAGTCTGTCATGGAAATGTGGAGACAATGGTGATTAACAAATTAACTTGTGTCATTAGTTATATGAATTTTAATGTTGCTGATGCCAGTGATGTAACAAGAAGTGATTCTTTTGTGTTTTGCCAAGCAGACCGTCTCACATACTCAAGGAAATAAAATCCAAGAAGCAAATATGCAATAATGCACTGCTAATTAACTTAGGTAATCGGCAGAATTGGTCCAAAGAGGAGTCGAATAAATGATAACGAACCAAACGTTAACACATGTTAGTGATTCTGTTCTATTTTTTCTGTCGTCTCTCACATTTCGTATTGAATGTCAACATGACCTTTGTAATGTCGCCCTGCATTATATATAACATGTCGATTCAAGTGCCAATGTGAACTGTTTCCGACATACATTTCATAATTTATGAATATATTTCCATATGCACGCACACACATACATATACTACAAACAAAATAATCAAAACACGATGTAAAACGTGCAAATAAAAAATAATACATACATCAATAAGGTTAATATCAGCGTTGTATGAACAATGGCGCCTCCCAAGATCTATCAACACACATTCAGCTTGTGATCCGTTTTTCTCTGAAATAAGTGTAAGTACATCTCTGACCACGTTCATAAATCTGAGGCCATGTTCCTTTATTAGAGCTGTGTTTTCCTTGTCCTTTGGTGACATAGCTGTATCTGACAAGCCAAACATAACTTTGGCTTCAGGGTGGTGCTCGAACAATCTGAAAATAAATAGATAAATAATAATAATAAAATGCGCATAATTTATACTTGAATACGAAAGTGGTAAACCTTTTCGCCATAGCAAAACAATCGTTTTTGATAAATTAAAATTGTTGATGTATTTTTAATAATATTCTGCTCTTGATGGAAAGTTTGTCATTTGTAGAGAAAATTACAAATGTCACCTTAGATACGACTGTAGTCTATTCAACAAGACTTGTGCTCTAGTGGTTGTTTGATTATCGTTATTGAGCATCTATCCCAGGTGCAGGCGAGGGCTTAAAACACTAATCACTGTACCCACAACGTATAAACAAGGGGGCGCAACAAAGCACACGTAGCATGTAGCATTAATAGTATACACGTAAAATTGAATTTCCTTTTAACGCAACATATGACAAACGCCTTCTTTGTAAATGCATCGGATGCTCTTATAATAATGTAATTCTAAACGCCTATCTGACAGTTTGACATTTTCGTCAGCTTTATCAATAATGTCAATATACTTAGTAAAAAGTATGCCAAATATCGCTTCAAATATATTTTGACGGTCATTTGTAATGACTCTTCGTCGCTCGCTTTTTTAGATGAATTCCAGTTTATGAGGTTTATTCACAAAATATAAGATTTCCTAATTGTCTTTATTTTCACATTGGTAGTGATCATTACTGTGTTATCATTCACTGTCAGTTTTTTTTTCTACAGTAAAGAGTAAAAGATATAAACTGGTGTTTAAAGTCGAAATATACCTCACAGCAATAGAAATAATTGGCCGTACTGCAAATAATTATCCAAAAAACGTCATTTGCGTAGTAGGAATTCCCCCTCGCATGCGTATGATATCAGACATCTATAATTAACAACACTTGTTCCGAGTAAAGTAGATTTACGTTTTTTTTTTACATATAATTGGCTATCATGGGTCAGTTGCACAGGTTTGCATGACGCACGAGTACTTGCAAGAAATCTCGCTGCATTGGGAATAGAATTCCGTAAACGAATGCGATAAAAACCAATAAGCGCATAGTAACAATGTTTTAATTAGACCGATTGTTTAATTGACTTGCTGGATAGTTTTTCAAGATGATACGTTACGAGATGACAGATGTATGGCTATGAACTTATAACGCATGCGCCACTATAAAGAAACGTTGACGTTTTGTTTGCGAAATATTTGTTTTAAAAATAATTGTGTTGATTTAAGACAGTCAAACTAGCGACACATAATAAATAGTACATTTCCCTGTTAATACATTCAATCACGATGACACGACATACATTTTTAAAGATCTTTGCATTGTTTTGAATGGCGTACCTTGCATGTATACTAGTATTGGGAGAGATAACGAATTTTGCTTTCAGCGCGAGTTCGACAAACATGGTTACAAAGCAGTTCTCGGCGGGGAACACGATGAAGAGATAGATCAATCTGCATCAATGTATAGTGCTTTGGTAACAGAGATAAACGGGAGTAATCTAACAACACGACATCAACGCACGGGGGATCGCATGTCTGAATAGTACATACAGAAATTAAACATTATAATTATGAATACTATCTGTAATGTGTGCGGGAACAGGGGGTGGTGGGTTTGTGGTGATATTATAAAATCAAATTACTTGGGCAACAGCAGGCACACATAATCAGTCGTAAGTGCATAGACGATGTTATCAGTTCATTAGATGGGAATCTGCATTGTATATGGTTGTGCCAGCAAAATGCTGGATATGAGATAACGCATATGCAAGCTGTGACTGGAGAGTTACAATGTTGAATTTCAAAAAAGTAACAATTTATAACAGTTACCCATGGGTTGTATAACGATGCTATCTGCAATTTGTAGAAATCTAAGTATTCGATTCAATACATTGTTCATAAATCCTTAGACCATGGGCTACTACTGTGAGTTTTTTTTATTTTAACAAATCAGTCCTTTGGGTGAAAAAATGAATAATAATCATTCGAATATGGATATGTCCCATGATTGTCTCTCAGCAATCTCATTTTCGTAATTGTTGTTTTGCTGTAGTTTTCCCATTTAACATACTACAGATATTCATAATATTTGAGTGAGCAAAATCGTGCGAAGATTTGGTGGAGGGCACGGCGTGTAATCTGAAACTTGCGTGTTTACCCTATCACTTCAAAACGAATAATGCTTGGAAATAATATATGCCTCTTGTTTTGAAAATAAATTTTCGATTTGGGAATCTAAACAATATCTATATTTGTAGAAATCAATATTTGTAGTTACGTGAGGAGTATGCAGACATAGAAATGATAGTTTAGTTATCCAGTGAAGAGAGTCATTTAACTAATTTTATATATGGATATGTAAATGGCGGAGTTGCTGCATTGCTTATTTAAATCGTTTGTGCATATTGTTACAATGTTTAGTAAAAAGTATGTGCCACAATATTTAATACCTGAAAATATGCAAAACATGTCAAATTAGGTAGCAATTATCATAGTGAAATCATCTATGGGTGCGAATTGAGAAAAAAACAAAATGTAATTTTATTTTAACTGATTATTGTAGGCAAAACATGCATACAGCATCCGTAAATCCTTAGTAAATTACCGTGAAGTGCAATTGTTGTCACGATAATCGGCTACTCATAACGTCTTCAAATAAATATACTTTTTTAGTTAACATCATTTTGTTACCATTTATCGAAATGGTCAATGAACTATCAAATTTGTATTTGAAATTTGAAAAACAAAAATATTATGCCATTATTGCCGGGAATATGATTTTGTTATATTCAAGGTTGAAAATGCCCACAACTATCGATATTCTGAGTAATCAATACTTGTTCAATACAAAGATGTGAATGAACTGCATCGTGAAAAACAAAAACAACAGTATAGCAGACTGCTATATTGTACTTATATGAATATTAACACTGCAGCAAGCATGGTAAGCGGTCGTTAACAGTTGCTCTTACCCAGTAAACATTAATAATCCAATCCGTTCTAAATCTCCTCGAATGCTCAGCCAGGTTTGGACAAGTATCTTCTCTTGTTCCTTCGACAGCGATTGACTTGTACTCGACCTGCTTGATTTGGCGACCTCGTTCCCCATTCTCCATCAATTGCTCAGTATGCTGTGACAGTGTGTAGCTCTTCTCCTTAGTAAATATAGCCCAGCTCGACTCCCACGATTTTCAAACATAGATATATATATATATATATATGGTCTACACGCCTGACGTGGTAGATGACGGGCAACCCGCGTAGCTTTGTGAACTTCAACAGGGCTGATTTCTCGTACGTGTGTCTGTCAGCTGGGGAAATGCAATGTGCGTGATGACTAACCGACGCACCGTCAATCCAAGAATGTATGTACGACTGATGCGTTGGAACAATGAACCTACCATATCAATGTGATGTAAACGAACTTAGACCAGCTGTTGAGTTAATGCCGAGACGAGTGCCATCCGACGTGTTGACTGCTATAAGTAGCCTTGCAATGCGGGATTTTATAAATATATTAACCTTGGCAATAACGATCGGCATTCATAATAAATTTATCATCCACATGGTGTCTGTATTATGTGTGTGGGTTATGCATTCATGAACTATGACCCCTATTTATATTTTATATATATTTTTCAATTAGCTTAGCCACAAGGCCACGATTTATGGAAATCTATGTGGGGTTCCTAGATGCAGCCTTAACGTCATGAATATTAGACGAAAAGAAATTTGCTGCTGTTAATGGCCTTGTTCGTCGAGCCGCATGTGGCTATTGTCGTATGGTATAACCACATTTCGAATGTCCATTACGGCAAGAAACCAAATTATCTTCGGTAGGAGTAGTCAAGTCTTGGGGAGTTCACTGCAGGTAACGCACAATAACGGCATAGTCGCACGCATTGTATGGGTATATATATGTAATTATAACAAAAAAAGAACAGACATAGAAATAAATACAAAACTTACCACTCCATACTGACTTTTCTAATTATAGTGCAAGTCGCAACAACAAAATAGGATAAAAGAGATGCTTGGGGTAACTTCATTAATCAGCAGCTACCGGCCATTTGAAGTTCTTGCCATTTTATGTAACTGATTAGTTAGCGCAATTGTTCTCATACAATCAGTACTACAATTCTATCGCTGTACTAACGTTAATGTAATTATTGAAGGGTAGATTGTATTTTGTAAAATGACGAATAGAACTACCTTCAAATGAAATGAACATATTGTGGCGTATAAGTATATTAAGTAGTAATACATAGCGAGATTACAGAATAATTCAATTATAATGCAAATTACTATTTTAATGCTTTTTGAAGTTTTAAATGTCGGAAGGGGAAAGGACTGGAATATATTCATGCTCGGTTTGTAGGACCAGTCATATGTGAGTGAGAAAACCAATTCTGGGTTAGATTGTACGGAACGAGTAAATGCAGCTATAGTTAATTGAGAAGATTGGATTAGTAGACAGTCTGTTCAATCTATCAGCATTCATCGCTTTGCAGAGTCCTATAGTTGTGAGTTATTAGATGACGATGCCATTACTTTACTACTCAGAAATCAATAATGTGTCATATAGTGTTGACACATTTTTTTGGAAGAACAACACGCAAGCATTAACTATTTCCGGGTGATTTACATACGTTTCATTTCCAGCTTACTGTTTGATATGATAAATTGTATCTGTGTTGTTTTAGTTACAATTACATTATTTTCAATGAATAAACTTAATTCTACCATTACAGTTGCCCTTTGTGGTGGTATCACCAATCGTAGAATCGTAGTCATGCGATCCATGTGAAAAAAAAAAAAAAACAAGAAAGCTGAATATTCATTTTGAAGAAGCGTTTGATATATAAGAAAATGAATATTAAAGGATATTTGTAACATTGCCCACTTGTATTCACGAATTTTAAAAACGTGTTAGTCAAGCATTCACATTACGAGTATCCTTGGTTAATGTATTATAATGGCAGAGCGTCCATGGTCACGTCTTGTGTCATAATAATGGCTGCTGGAAGTGATAAATATAGTATATACGATAGAGACGGGTAGTAGTTGTAGTGTTTGGTAATTATTGAATATAACCACTAGGACGTTTGGGGCATTGACGTTTCATCAATATAGTGCGTGAATATGCAGTGGTATGTGTGACACAGTTTATTTTTTAAACAATTAATCATTACGTGTTCCCGGACCATTAATGTGGGAAATGTTTGGAAGCCCACCATCAACTGTGGCACAATTATACAATTCCTTCTGTTCCACTGGCACGTTTAGTTTCGAAGATGTAGGAAGTAGTTTAGTAAACAGGAAATAAATGTAACAGGTAAATAATATTTCTATATTTACAATGTTATAGTGTGTGTGTATTCCTGTTCACATACCCATCTTGTAATTTCTCCAATGAAACTGATCATAGTTTTAAACAGCACACAAATCAAATGTTATAAGAAATATGTTTCTTGAAGAATAGTAATGACCGTAAATCGGAATACACCTTGTTTCAGATATCAACCAAAGCGCGTTTTAGTTATATTTACGGTCTCCGCCATATTTGATTCTCCTAAAATTAACGCATGCGTACTTCTTTCCCTCGCCCTCTAGATGATATTTTGCGAATTTGATGATGTGTTATTGTAATTACTCTTCTTTTATAGGACGTTTGTTCAATGATCTACGGTTGGATATGTTATTTCCAATTTCTTCGAAAACTGGTCAATATCAAAGTGACCATGGAACCGAACAATTACCGATGACTACAAAAATGAATATATTTCTACTCCAAGAAGGTTGAATTGTCAATGAATTATGTTCAAAAAACGGCGATTTGGTATGTAATTTGGGCGGGACGTTATTATGCCTCGATACGTAGTGACAATTTACAGTTAATTTTAATGTTCTAAATGCTACAAATAATATATATAGAGTGGGATAATAATTTATATATTTAAATACATAATTACATGAAATGCATAATTTCATAAGTAAAATGTTATTGACAGATACACATTGGCGATCCTTCCAAGTCATATTATATTGTATCTACTTCTTTAATTGGACCTCACCAACAGTTCATTACGTATTACGTAATTACGTCTACCATCGATTCAGACGTCATTACTACGCGAACAGCAATACTACTGCTACTACTGGAATAAAGTGTAATTCATGTTAGGTTCAATAATTTGGTTCTATGACATTAAAACACAGAAAATTAAGACAGAACTGATGATGTCACAAGGCAATATTTCGAGAAATAGTAAGATATCTTCTGTGAAAAAGGCGAAATTGTCATTTACTGGAAATAATAATAATATTCTGATTTAATAGACGATTTCTGAGTTTTTTGTAAAAAGGAAAGTTTATTCCATCTTTACCGTAGGCGTCTATACGAACGCACGGGACGCGATATAGAAAAACGTATTTATTAATAAATCTGTATCATTGCACACTAAATGTACATGATAAAATACTTTGTAAAAAAGTCATTCTTAATAATATTATTATTTTCTGATTGTTCGGTTATTTGATTATTTTGACTCGTCGAATTCGTGTCAAATCAATTATTGTTTTCTTTGTCGTTGCATATGAATTGTTGTGTCTCGGACACCAATAAATAGTAAACGATTGTCGTTTTGCTTAATGTAAACGCTGTTATTTTGCTAAATTTCCACCAATCAAATAATTAAAACACAGCGACTCTGGCATCCTCGTAACATACATCATCAAAGAGCAACAACATTTGTAATTAATATTCTGTCTGGAATACAAATGCCCGTTACCACTGTGTGTCTTCCTCAGATAGGAAATCATGACATTCAATGTTTCATTTTTCACGTAAGACATTTAATTTAAATGCAGCGCCCTCACATGGCAGAGTCGAACGTTTGAGGGGACGCCTATAAAGTCAATTGAGAGCGTATTTGTTCATAGGTATTGCCCCACAATGCAATGTGCCTAGGTCGAGTACCGCTCACACTAATCCAAATCTTTCAAAACATATATAAAATAGAGAACATCAGACATATACCAGGATAGACCAGGATAGAGGTCATACTGCCTGATAATCAAACGAGTACAAATAAAACAACTACAAATAAAACAAACTTAATCTTCATCTGCTTAAACGATGGCACGAACACTACATGTCAAAGGGGGCGCCAGACATTGAAACAACTACGATAATTAATGTTTTCGCGAATATCTCCGTAAGGATTAGCGCCCTCTACAATCTGATTAAAATCTGATGTAGTGTACGGGCTTTAATTATTTTGGCTATAAACTTATTTTAATTTAATATTTTATTACTTGTGTTATTAATGCCTTTTTATTTTATTATTATTTTACCTTGATTTTGAGGTTTTTTTAAATTCCGCCCTACATACATCTGACCCGATGCCTATGTAACGAGATTTCAACGAGACCCACTATCGACGATTTTAGTCAACGAATCACATACCTCCTTCTATAGCGCACATGATGACGTCACCGGGCAGAGTCAGGTGGCAAACACACTCAAATAAAATGGCGGATTATACCGACGCTAGCGACCGAAAATAACACGGCTTTTCGGTAAGTTTATCATTGTCAAATGCAATGAAAGTCATTTTTATGTTAATATTGTGGCTCGAATGGTTCGAGTTTAGATCGTTATTTTGCGTAGTTATTCTGGGAGTGACGATTTTGTTTCCACCGGTTCGACCGAACACCGGCGTCTTTTTCCAGTCGCTTGCCCTGGAGACGGTTGATGTTTTGTTGACGATCGGGCCAAAATCGTCTACGGTATTGAAGCCGTAGCTGTAAATATTCATCAAAATGTATCAACATTTTGTACATTATACAATAACTCTTTATTAAAGTAATTGAGCTGATTTGGACTGGAATATTTTTTAGTTGGAACACATCGCAATTGATCAGGAAATATTTTTTTGCTCCAATTTTCTGCGTCGATGCCGTGAGCCGGTGACCGTTATACAATTTAAAATCAGTTTGCATTGTTTACTATAGCTGTTTTCAGTGTTCTAATCATTACGATTTACTTATTTTTTTGCTTCCATTCTAGATAATTATGCTCAGTGTTTGATGTAAATTTGAAGCGATGACTGAATGAACGAACCTTGGCTGGCGAAGATGTATCTGGAAGTGTACACATTTGTTGGAAGTGAAAAAAATATTCAATTTAATGACAAAAATTGTAAAATGCTGTGGAATTTCTTTTGTAAATAAAAATATACTAGCAATTTTCCATTAATGGTTTATTCAAGTGGGCAAAATATAATGTACAGAAAGATTGCCCGTAGAGTATCGCTACTGTCATGAATTTGTTTTCGCGTATCTGTTGACCGACTTAATTAACTGATTATTAGCGAATTGCTGTGTTATGTCTGTCATCGTTTAGGTCTATTTGAAGTTTTGGACGGAACTTGGCTCAGT